TTCTTCCTTGCTTTCATTTCAATCCTTTTCTTGTGTTTTCATACTGTTTTGGATCAATTCCAAGTGCTGAAACTTATGGTTAAAGAGCTACCAAAGGTAGAGGGGTTTATCACCCTTTCTTGAACCTTATCCCATAGCTCATACCCGTTGTTTTCCCATTCTTTTCTTTGGTTCACATACTTATTTTTAGAGTTTTCAAAGGCTGAAAATTATGGTTTAGATGTCCTGAAAGTGGAGGGGTTGGCCACCCCTCCTTAGTTTTGCTTACTAGCTTTGTATCTCTTTGTTTTTGGCTATCTTTTATGCTCTTTTAAACATGGTTTTGGGTACTATTTTTTACATTTTTGGGGCTATTTAATTCATTTAAATAGTTTATGCTTTAAATATTATACTTGTTGTGTTGTAAGTGCTCATGGCTTCGGTTGTTTAGTCCTTAGACATCGAGTCATTTGAGTTAATGGCTTTCATTACCTAGTTTTCATGTAAAGCGTCCCACTTTGGTAATAATCAACCTCCCTCGATTCTTTGTTTTTTTGATCAAAGAGTTGTGTTTAATAAAAGGTTGTTGTTCAAGCATAAGAAAGAGACCGTCCATGCTTAATGGTTTAATCTCTTCGGAGGTTCATTCCCAAGGCATTACATTTCTCTTATGCTAAACACAACCTCTTATTTGTCACTTCTTTTTATCACCGGTGTATTATTTCTAAGGAACTAACTTTCTAGTTAGGTCCTTGGAAATCACAAAAAAGGTTTCATTATAGCTTGTTATCGAGTTTGGGTTTTGAGTCCTTATCGCTCATTCTGGGTTTGGCTATGTCATTATTGCTCTTTTGAGTTTGACTAGTCATTATCTTTCATTTTGGGTTTGATTTCGAATCCCTTATCGCTCGTAAATGAGTTTGACTCCTCTTTTGTAATTTTCCTAAAAAAAAAGGGTTTGAAAGGCTCATTTTTCAAGTTAAGTCGATACTTGCTCATTTACATTGCTTTTGGACTAAGTGGCCTTAAATATCACCTTTGGACAAAATGGAATAAAAAATAAAGAAATGGAATTGTAAGTTGAAAAGGGCTAATAAAATCGGCTTAAAATCGATCAAACTGACATAAAGAAGATTAATAAAATTGGTTGGATTCAGTCGGACGTTATGCTAAATCCATCGCTTCTAGACTCATCACATACTAATTTGCGATGTTTGATGATTCTTGAGGCGTGTCTACCTCCCTTCTTGAATTAATTTCTTGATAAGAGGGAGGAGTAGTGTGCCTTTCGTTGCATTAATTAATCATTTGTCCCATTATGTCCAAAACCATCATGCAATCAACTTGTTACCATCGATGGTATGGTTTCGGAGCCGAATCCGCTCTTCCCTTGAGTTTCTCCATGATAGAGTAGAGCAGAAGGGAGAAACATGGCTTATAAATACTCTGTCTGCATCGTTTTCACCTCAAAGCACAAAAACATTTTTCTGTAATAAAATAAGGCATGCCCGGATTTGTTTGGGCCTAGCCGGGTCTCGTTGGGGGCCGGTCGGGCTCCAATGTATGGTAAACAAGACACTTCTGATGAAAACAGAGAGCAGTGTCTGAGGGTGAAATAGAGCAGATTCCCAGAGGTCAGACAAAGTAGTTTCTGAAGACTGTTTTCATCGGTGTGCATGCAATCCTTGTGCATTCTTTACATATTTTTGTTGTATATTGTTGTAATAAATTAGATAGTTATTTATTATTCAATTGCATTCTTTACATATTTTTGTTGTATATTGTTGTAATAAATTAGATAGTTATTTATTATTCAATTGTATTCTTTACATATTTTTGTTGTATATTGTTGTAATAAATTAGATAGTTATTTATTATTCATTCGGATTTGTAGTAAGCAATTAGTTCGGACACTTGGACATTTGGACCCTTTTGCATGAGTGCAAAATATGTAATAGTGTGTGTATGTCTTCGAACCTCCATTTCTTTCTCCCTTTTATTTACCCGCTTATGATGGATTGCATATAGCACCGCGTTTTCTTTAGCATTTTCCATGACTTGTATCCATTCATTTTGCACACATGAGTGGTTCGGCCTATCATACTCATCAATGTCAAATTCAAAATTCCTTACTTGAGTACGTGCTTAAACTGTATGCAATCAAATTAATTCACGCGCCCTACTTGTAATGCCCCAAAAATTCTCTAATATAATCTAGTTACATCGACTAATATTCATTACAGGATAATAGCAATTCCCAAATCATCATAACATTGATCATTAAAGTTTGTACGAAATACTCCCATATGCGAATTATGCTTTCAATGATATTACATACATGAATCTACATCATGCGGAACATCAAATACAAAAGTAAATAAAATGCCCTCAAAGGCTTACAAATTTCAAGGCTTAAACCCGGTTATACAAAAATGGTTTCACGAACCCATATATTCATAGCCCTTGGCCAACAAAATAAACCACAACAAATGAGAGCCATTTACTCTCCACAAAATATGTCAACGCCCTTAACTTGGCGGGATCACCACATCTTTTCCTGCATCAAAATCCCATAGGGGTGACCTTAAAGCCCAGTAGAGAAATCTTAACAAAGTATATACATTTATGCAAGATTCCCAATATAAAATGCATATGCCATGTTATGCCAATTAAAAGAGGATTTCATTTACATCTTTTAATAAAAGCCACCATGCACAATGATAGTTTGAAATCTCAACAATTTAGAAAATTACAATTTAATTCAAAGGGGTGGTAAATATGACTCAGGTAATCCTTAGGTTGGTGTCTGTAGGTTGGCGTATCTAGCACAACCAAAGACGCCACTTTACCGGTTGCTAACCAGAAGGGAAGTGGTACCTCCCCACGCATGTGTTCGGTCTTTCACCTCGGACACTCAGGCCAACTTAAGCAATTTCATCTACACCTCATATCCGGACTTACCAACATATTTACCTCAAAACATTTCAATAATTTCATTCTACAACATTTCTTTCTCAATGTAATGTTTTCAAATCTCAACTCAAAACTTGCAACAATGCAATATTAGCAATGCCAATACAATATATGCCAAAGTTAAATAATAATCCTGTAATAATCAATTAAATGAATATGCAATGCAATAATCATCATCACTACATAAAATTTCTCCATCATCAAATCTCTCAACGATAATTCATCATAATCAAACTTTCCACTCCTTTTTCAACATTATCTAGCATGATACCCATAATTTCATTTAAATTCGTAAACAAATGAATACTTTCACATTTTGTATTAAACCAATAATTTGTTACTTCATAACTTTATCTACAATTTCAACTACAAATTTCCATCACCATATTTCACACATTCCATGAAATTCATCATTTCTTCAACGGCAAAAGATATTTTCCATTCCATTCTTCCATTGTGACATAACAACAAATTGATTTGTTTTATAAACCCTTAACCCATTTCAAAAAATCCATGAATTTAGGTCTTTGGCTAAGATTAGGTATCCCTTCACCTTTTTAAAAGGACACACACAAAGCATCTTTTTCTCACACAATGAAAGTGAAACCCTCAAGGATTAACTTAGAAAGATTTGAGATTTTAAAAATGCACTTTTGAAAATCCCTACATTATTGAGCCAAAAATCAAAACCATCATAATATCTTCAAGAAAACCCCAAAATCAACATCAACTTTGCAAAAACATGTATATATTACTCAAAGAAGTCCCTACCTGAATCTTGTTGAAGAGATGAGACGAAACCCTAAGATCAAAGGTGTTCTACACCGCACAAAGCGAATTCCTAGCTTAGCTCTCCAAGGTGAAAATCCTAATGGATTGCAAGAGATCAAATATTTGAGGAGATTTGGTGAAGGAAATATAGAGAGAACGGAGAGGAAATGATTTTCAGAGAGAGAGAGAGAGGTGTGTAAAAAGTGATACACACACAGCCCAAAAAGAAAGAAAAATAGAGTTTTTCAGACTCAGCCCGCCCATATGTGCGGCACTTGCCCCTGCACGCACTACAAGAATTAACACTTTTGGCAACAAAAAAATTGGTCGCTAAAAGTCTATTTTTGGTCGGCAAAAGTCATCCGCGACCAAATTTTTTGGTCGCTACTTTGGTCGCCAATTGAGGGTCGGCAAAAGTAATTCGCGACCAAAATTTTGGTTGGTTGGCAAAAGTCGGATTTGCCGACTAAATTTTTGGTCGCGAAATGTATCATTACCACGACTAATTCATTTAGTCGCTAAAACACTTTGGTCGCGAAAAGTGATATTTTCCCGACCAAAAAATTTGGTTGCCAATTATCACATTTAACGACCAAAAAGTTTGGTCGCCAATTGTGACATTCCACGACCAAAAATTTTGGTTGCCAATCGTGACATTCCTCGACCAAAAAGTTTGGTCGCCAATTGTGACATTCCACGACCAAAAAAGGTTTTGGTCGCCATTTGTTACTTTTCGCGACCAAAACTTTTGGTCGGCAAAAGTGACTTTCCACGACCAAGAGCTATTTTGGTCGGCAATAGATGTATTTTTTGCGACCAAAACTCTTGGTCGGCAATTGTCATTTTTTGCGAAAAAAAATTATTTATTTGTCGCGACTAATAAATTGGTCGCCAAAAGCAAGAAAACAATACACCTGTAATTCCTAATAATTCATTCAATCCATAATAAACCTATAATTTTAAAGCATCACTCAAATTAACTGAATCATTAACATTCGACACAATACATAATTCATTAACATTCGACACAATACAACTATTCTAAGTTTTCAACCAGACATTGTTCACACAAAATAATGACAACCAAAGAATCCAACAACACCTTTCTAAACTGTCAAACAACCTACTTCCAAAATTTCTTAAATTTCCCAAAACACTAGTGTACATTATATACATCCTATTTATAGAACTACATTCCAATTCAAACTGAAACACCCTAGTTTTAGCAAGAACAAAAAGAAACAATTCTACGAGTAAATAATATGTGGAAGCTTTGACTAAAACAAGAACTCTGTGTCAGAAACTTCGAGGACATTGTGGACGCCAATAGGGTTCACACCTGGCATGCTATTCAAAATTTCTTCAGCTTTCTGAACTGCTCCGTTCATCCCCTTAGCAGAATCAGTCAAAACAAGCTCAGCTCCAAAGGCTTTAAAAAGAACCCTTCTTTCTAGACTCATTGAGGCTGGCATTGTCAATATGAGCTTATATCCTTTTGAAGCAGCTATAAATGAAAGTCCAATGCCAGTGTTTCCACTAGTTGGCTCCACCAGAATGCTCTAGATAGAGGGGGGGCGGAGGAGATGGGGAAAAAAGAAGAAAATTGTTGCATCAGAATGGTAAACAGGATATATTTTAATTAATTTATTTATTTTTTTGATAGACAGGATAAATGTTAATCTAAACTAAAGTGATTATCAGCATATTGAGGACATAACGTGCCATACATATTTACAGGAAGCATTTTGAGCTAAGATGAAGAATAACACCATGATGTGTTAAATGCATTCATGCTGTGTTCTACTTCAGATAATTTGTTTACAACAAAAGATATATTATTATTAGGGTTAAAGGTACATTACAGCTGTTGATTTAAGTGTTTATGTGCTGATAGTGCATAAAAAAATTAGTTTCATGGACTCCAATTTTTGTTAAGGCGGCCTATCTATGGAAGGGCTACGTTAATATACAAGGGCTGCTATTGTCCAAATACAGCAAAAACAAAAGGCAAAGCACATCAAGATTGCGCACATCCTTTATACAATACGAGGTAAGGGTTGTATTCATGGTTATGTTACCTTCCCTGGTGTAATAAGACCCCTCTGCTCAGCATCAGTTATCATACTGTGTCCAATCCTGAAACCAAAAAAGAATCGAATACTAAACAAATGCATCCAAGACTTAAACCAATTTTTTTTTTGTTTTTTGAACAGCATTCAGAATCAAAATGAAACATCAAGATATGCTTCTTGCTACAGAAGCATTATCCAGAACCTAAAAGAAAGAAAGCAAACACACAGCAACAGGGAAAATGTACAATTCTATGATTATGTACCTCTGCCCAAGAAGCATTATGATTTTCAGACTCAGTTCATTATATGGTTTTATAATTTTTTCTGTGGGTAGGATTTAAAATTGTGCTAGAGTGGCAGCTATGTTAAAAGCAACCATGATCAGATGATAATGACCCAAATAACATAATGACTTTTCTGGTATATATGACCAATTCAAAACTGGGGTCCAAATTACCTGATTGCATTGCTATTTTCTGTCATGATTTAGTAAATCAAACCATCGCATCCTGTCAGTATACTTCTGGTATAATGAATCTAAATCTGCCTCCCCACTCTGATCATCAATCGATTCTCGTCCCATGATGGCTGAATCAGAGATGCACACCGATGGCAAAGACACATCCATTTCCACATGTGTATAAGTTTTTTTTTTTTTTTCAAACTAATCTTAGGAGGAATGATTAACGTTTAGTTTGTAAAGAACATCACCAAACAGGCAAGCGTTGAGTTTTTCACTGGTCTTTAATTTCATTGTTTACATCTTTCTTACCTTTTGTTCCTGTTACCAGAGATGATGCTAGGCTATCTTAAATCCATGCACCTTTCAAATCAACCATTCAAGTATTAAATTTGAGGAATTTACAAGATTCTACATTGAACACTAATCACTTTTTTTACTCGAAATTATGAAAAGGACATTTTGACAGAATATGATTTGCAAGATTCTAATTTTTCCAACTACCCACTTTTGTTTCCTAGTTTGCTTCCACAATTTCATCAAAAAAACCACTTTCCTAGCTCTTTCCTGACTTTTTTAGCACAACCTATGCATGTGTTGTTGATTTAGGATTCCAAAGTGATACAAAAACGTGTTTGGATTCAAGTTTGTATAGCGATAGGTGATAATAGTTGCTCCTTTTTGACATAGCTTTCAATTTCTTATTTTAAATATAGGGTCCTACTAAGAACCACCTAATGAACTTACGTTAAGAATGAAATAATGTTAAACTCATATATTCCTATACATTTTACATATTTTAACACAATTTTTATACATATCAACATTAACCACCGCTCATTGGGCAGTGGTTAGCATATTCCTTAAATATATTCTCATGGCAGGGAAAATTAAGGAGGAATAAAGATGTCATACGTTCACCAAATTCAAGGTCCTAAACTACATGCAAAATATTACTTAATTTCAGATAATAAGGGCAAATTGTGAATAGGATGGTTCCACAAATTAAAGAGGATTGCTAAGATTGTGGGTAGAGAATTAAACAGAAAAAATGCACCATTCAGACGTTCAAATTGATTTGTTAAACCACAAAAATCATTTAGACATTTGCACAAACATCACTTGGACCAAAACCTGCACATGCAGTTCACTATAGATTTTTTAATACCTCTACCAACACTTTCATTTTCCAGCATAATATGAAAATAAAAAATAGAGACAAGAACTCAATATAGTCATATTTACCTTATTTCCAGAGCACTCAACATCCAAGGAGTGTGCATGTGCAACACTTTTGTGCAGCAATTGATGATACGCTTGGCGTTGATGCAAGCTTGGATGGAACAATACATATATAAACAAGAGTATTGTACAAGAAACATACTAAGAATAAACAAAAATAATGAGTAATGTTATACAAACAGTTTTTGTATAAAATTCTCATACGTAATAACCATGTATGTGACCTTCTGTGATATTTTCATTTCAAACCAAAAACCCGCTAGCATTCAGATATGTTTTCTGCATAAAAATTCTGTTTGTAGATATTATCCAAAATTTATACAAAATGATGTGGCATGTTGTGAGCCTATCACTTAAAAAAAATAAAAAAATAAAAAAAATCTAGATGCCTTTTAATTACAAAAATGTCTCTAACACATAATTCTGGTGGAAGATCATGTATAAAACTTCTAGAAAATAGTGTTTTACATAAAACAAATTCTCATAATATTGAGAGGGGCACTGAAGTCTATGATGAGAACTTTTTGCGACATTTTTTTTTCATTCTCACATTCATGGTTAGATATAGTGAGCAAAAATAAACTTTTCTCATCTCTCTACATCAAATTGATACATCAAAAACACAGTTGGTGCGCACCTTCCAGATTTGATTATTGACCTTTAATTTGCAAGCATCATAGAGACTGCAAAGTGCAAACTAAATGTTTTTGCTCCAAACTTGCATCTTTTACCAAGTTGAAGTTTCCCTCCTATCATATCATTCACAATACCGGAACCATCAGAGAAAGCAAATGAATTTCCATTCTTAAAATTAGAGTGCTCTAAACAATTTTGTACAGAAATGTAACTTTGAAGTTGAAAGTTCCATGTGCAATAGAAAATATGAACAAATTACAAAGACAACCCATGGTTAAAAATGTTTTGATCCAAATTCTCGTGATCCCCATGATCTCTCTCTCTCTCTCTCTCTCATGTCTTTATAATTAGCAGGTACTACCCACTCATGCGTCACTTTATGTTCTTAATTAAACATATTTGCACAGTCTAAATCTATATATAAATAACTGGCAACTGACTTGCATATATAGAAAATGAAATTTAATTATAATTTGAGCTTACATTTTCATTTTTTGTTTTCTCATTGATACATACATATGCTAATTTTCTATTTAGTTTCGTCTCATCTCACATATATTTGTGTTGTACTTGAAAGTATAAATTAAGGGCTTTTGTCACTTTCTTAATGTTTTGGTAATTTATGTGCTTTTTTCATTTTTATGCCAAACTTCACGACATCGCATATGAATATGGTTGTCCTACTACAGTTCCATCTGCACTGTATACGTCGTAATAATTAATGAAGTGATGATTTGTGGTTAACTTGACATTGTTGACTTATCTTTGATTCTAAAGGTTAAGATAGAAGCGACGTGTTTATGGAGCAAATGTAGAATAACACTCTTCAAAGTCAACATTTTACAAGAAAGCTTAATTTAGTTAGTTTGCAGAGAAATTAGTTCATGATGTTTCTTATCTTTTCCTTTCTGGAACTAATAACTTGAAATTTTCTCTTTACTTCTCTGGTGATAGGCTAAAAATGGAATTTTTTTAGCTTGACATCCCATATGGTTTCACATGAAATGCTTAATTTGAAGCCACATTTGAAATACATTAAGATATGATACAAATTCTTTATTTATTTTATTTTTATTTTTCACTTCATGTATGTTTTCTGGACTACTTATAGAAATCATGGAATGATATAAATATTACCCTAGTTTTAGACAGAAGAGCATCATCCATCAGTTTTACACTTCCAATCAAATCTGAATTTCTTCATCTTCTGTGCTTCATGAAGAATTTTACCAAGGCAGTGAACATTACTGGTTTCCAGCACTTAAGGTCAACTGTGTGGCTGTGGAAGCTCGACAACAAATTTAAGAAAATGCGAGTAAAGCCAGTTCTGGCAACAAATTTAACACAAATGTTCATAACTAAGCCTCAATTACTTATGTGCATATACATATAAGTTGGATTGAAATGTGTGTGTGTGCGCGCGTGTGTGTGAGAGAGAGAGAGAGAGAGAGAGAGAGAGAGAGAGAAAGGAGAGGCTTACCTTAGTCGGTTTTCGTTTTGGGGCAAACCCTAATAGCTCAATTGGAGGAGCGGGTTGAATCGGCAAGGTTATCTGAGACGCCGCACCCCGCTGCCGCTGCTAGCTGTCGTACTACGCTGCTCACCGTCGTTGCTCGCTGCTCACGGCGTTGCTCGCTGCTGCCATCGTCCCCTTTGCTGGCTGCTAGCCACTGTCGGCTGCAGACGTGAGAGTGAGAGTGAGAGAGAGAGAGAGAGAGAGAGAGAGAGAGAGAGAGTATTTTGGAGATTTTTGAAATTGGGGATTTTTTTTGTTTAAGGGGTCAGGGATTGGAGATTTGAGTTAGTGAGAAAAAACGGGGGAAAGGAAGGGGAATTTGATAGAAGAGGGGGAAACGAAAAGAAAAGAAGAAAAGAAGAGGAGAGGTGGTGTGGTTTATTCTATTTTATTTATTTATTTATTTTTATTTTTTTTTGTAGTTAATGAATTTTTTTTTTATTTTTTGATTTTTTTTTTAATTACTAAGGTTGAAAATTTATTTGTTTTATTTTTATTTAATGAAAAAATTATTATTATTTTTATTTAGTAGAAGTTAGGGTAATCTTTTAATGAAAAATATTTTTTATTAAATAAAGTTACTTTTTTGTGGTCAATTAAAAACGATTTTCTGAGACCCATTTTTTTTTTTGTTACCAAGGATTAGGAACTAATTTGCTATGCAAACTTTTAGCACTAATTTCTATCAATTTGTGACAAATAATTTTTAAGTAATTATTTTTTTTCAAGTAATAATCCAAGTGATTTTTATTTTTTTACTGTGGAGTGAATTATATATATTTTTAAATTTAAAATTTTAGTTTAGTTAGGTATATATAAATATTTAATTTTTTTATAAAAAAAAATTTAAAACACATAAAAGACAAAAAAAATAAAATAAAATAAAAACGAGTGACGTCGTTTACAATCGGCGCTAAATTTTTTTTGTTCGCAAAAAAAATTTCAATTCCCCTAATGACATTTCAAATTTCTCCCAAACTTTTGGCGACAAAAGACAAATTAGTCACAGAAAAGGTACCTTCACGACAAACTTTTTAGTCGCCAAATCTCATATAACGTGACTAAATATTAGTCGTTAAAAGTACTATTTGGCGACTAAAATTTTTTGGTTGCTGAAAATAAGTTTTTGGCGACCAAACTTTTGGTGCAAAGAAAAAAAAATATTTATTTTCTATTTGCGATAAATTAATTTTAGTAGCCAAAATTCAATATACGACGATAAAATATTTCAGTCGCTAAAAAAAAGTTTTTGGCAACCAAATTTTAGTCGCAAAAGATAAAAAATATTTTTATTTTCCATTCGGCGACTACATGTTTAGTAGCAAAACCAAATATACAACGACTAAAATATTTTTTGTCGCTAAAAATAAGTTTTTGGCGACCAAACTTTTGGTCGCCAATTCCACAACCAACTTATTTTTGATATTCCGCGACCAACTTATTTTTTGGTCGCCAAAATGTGACCTTCTGCGACCAAATTTGTAGTTGGTTGCCAAAACTATACCACTTTCTGCGACCAACTCATTTTTTGGTCGCCAAAAAATGACCTTTTGCGACGAACTCATATTGGTCGCCAAAAATAATGATCATTCGCGACTAATAAATTTTTGGTCGCCAAAAGGTAACTTTTAGCTACCAACTTTTATATTGGTCGCGAAAAGTAGTCGCTAAAAGTGCAGATTCTTGTAGTGACGTATGAAGCGTGCTTCCCGCACGTGCAGCATTGATCCCCGCACGTGCGGCACTCTCCCACACCTCCCTTCCGCACTTGCCTTTTAAGTAGAGTGCAACCCAGAAACTCCCTTGTTTCTCGCTTGTGTGGCCCAAGGCCCCACAAGTGCAGTTCAGCCTTCCAACGTAGAAAATTTCCAACTCATGCCCTGGGTACTCCGGATCCAACCTGCACCTTCCACAACACGTGAAACTCGGTATAACAATAAATAAGAATGAAGATTTTTGAGAAGGAGCTTTCAAAAGAACAATCCAACGCTATAACAATTGTTAAACCAAGGCTAAACAAAGAGGAACAAATGAATAACATGACCGGTCATCACAACATACTAGTAGTCGAGCTTATTAATTGCATTTTGTATGCGTTGCATTAGTCATGTTACATTGCTTAGGATCATGCATTTTCCTACTTATTTTTGTTTTCTTTGGCTTGCCTTGGAGTACTAGGTGAGCGGTTTTGCTTTAGTATATTGCATGCGCGCGACAATTGCCATGTCAAACATGTTTACCATGAGGCTAAGTGCTTAATTGATATACCTCTTGAATGCCTGTGGATGGAAACTTTTCGCTTAAGTTGGGGTGACTTGATTATTGTACATATGAGAATGATAATTTCATGTGAACATTAAAAAATGATCATTCTATTCTATTGTACTTTAATTTTAGTAAACTAAACACAAAATTGTAGTACTGGATTAGAAGTGTACTGGATAGTTTTCCCTAAGGCTATACATCTTATTTCCCAGAACTACTTGTATGATCATTGATCATCAAATACAAGAAAATCCCACTGTTATTTAACTATTCTATCCATAAACTAAAGCATTTTGGGGTTAAAGATTGAGATTTGATCATTTGAACAACAAATAAGAATGTAAGTGCAAATGGTTATGAAGATTCTCACATTGGTTGTGAAGAAAGAACCCCTTCCATCTAGTTTTGTATAAGATATTGTTTGAGCAATGCAAAAAAGTACACAGCCACACAGTAAGCACAAAACAAGTTATTCTTTCACCTTTTACTAAAAAAATGCCATGTACTCGTTGTGAATAGTGGCATAGGCCTATTTTTGGAGAGGTTCTTCTCAAATGGGGTTGACCTCTAATAATTTATAAAAGAATTTTTTTGTGTTTTGAATTTGCTAAGAATTTGTGTATTTAGCTAAGATAGGGTGGTCCCTATTATATTTTTTCTTTTGTTAGATTCTTTCAAAATTATTTAATTCCCAGCTGTGTTAAAAAAAATTTGATGTTTCATATTTTTTAAAGAACAATTTTTTTTGTTAATTTGGAATTACTTCTGATAGTTTTATGGAAAAATTATAGACGAGTGTAATTGTAAAAAAATAATTACAAATTAATGATAAATTTTATCAATTTTAATAATTAAAAATATAAAATTTTCAATCTCTTTGCAATTATTTTTTTGAAAATATATTGAATTATAATTTCCCTAGTTTTATTGGACATCCCAGTAATCATGTACAATCAAAACAAGTCTCCATCAGATAGGAGTGTAAAAATGGCCCGCGGCCCGTTTAAGCCCGGGCCTGAGCCCAGCCCGAGACTGAGACTAGGGGTGTGCATAATACCGCCGAAACCGCCGAAACCATCAAAACCGCACCGAACTGCACCGCCAAGGCAAATTCGTTATTATTTGCCAATCAAACCGCTGGTTTTTGATAAGAAAAATGGCAAATTCTAGTGACACTTTTATCAATCCGCCGGTTTCTATTTTTCTTCCAAACCGCACCGACCCGCACCGCTATTAAATCATGTTTTATAAGATTCTAAAAATTCTTTTTTACTTAAGATTGCTTGTTGTTCTATACCTTAGAATATAATATTACATTACTGTTCAAGGGGAATTTAAGATGTCAGTAATCCAAAATAAAGTTGGATTCCAATTCACTTTTCAAATTTTTCTTTTCTGACCATGTTGCAAACTTTCATTAGCTCACTTTTCAATCTAAATATTTTTCAACAGTAAACATTTTCAATATATTGTAAACCCTGAATGATATTAATTTTATGTATTGTATTTGATCATTGTAGCTTCCACAGATGCTTGTAATGAACTGATGGCATAGTCGTTGATATTATCATATTGTTGCTACACTTGCTGCATCAGAAGAAAGTTTTGCAAGATGCTTAACATCACGGTATCTCTCGTCTTTTTTTTACTCTTTGATTTAAGTTTTGTAATTTGAATTATATTTTTTATAAACCGCCAATCTGCCCGAACCGCCAAGGCAAATCCGTCATTATTTGCCAACCGAACCGTCGGTTTTTGATAAAGAAAATGACAAATTCTAGTGACACTTTTATCAATCCTCCACCCACCATACGGTTTCTATTTTTCTCTCAAACTGCACCGACCCACACCGCGCACACCCCTAACTGAGACTAGGTCTGGGCCTGGTGTAGACACCCCATTTTTGACCGACCTTAAGACTCAGTGTAGAAGCGCCCACGGGCCTCACTACAGTTCGGACTCAATTTGTGTCACGGTCCTGTATCTAATCTCGCAGAGTGCAATGCAAGACCGATGACTCATCAAAGAGTCCAAATCCGGCAAATTGTTTTGGAAAACAGATTTTTTAGAAAGAAGTGCCAAACATGGACTGCTTTGCCAGATACAGAGTCGTCACCTAAATATTTATTTTGGGGGAATTTAGGAAACCCTGACTCGTTGCCTAAGGCCACGTGTCCGTCATCACCAAAGTTGCCTTGGCTCGGGAACTTGGGTACGATTGGGGAAGGTCATTTCGTGAGCACCCCCGCTCGCCCGATCAAAGATCGGCCTCTACTAACCATGATATCTAGTTTTGAAAACATTATGCGTTCTTATTCCGGTTATTAGCCTAGATTTACTATGTGATGCGCACAGCATACAAGTATAAACTGGATCGCCTGAATTGGAACAAAACATTTCATTTTGGTTTTTGAAAGCGGTTTGCTACTCATAAGTAGGCTTGAAATGCAGATTTTGCCACCCTCGGGGGGGCTTAGAAAAATGATTTTGCCACTATCTAGTGGGCTTAAAACTCACAGTCAATGCATTATTCCAATTCAGATAATCCGACCTTCACCCACAGGCATTCGGGCAGTTATATCATATAAGCAAATAGCCTCATGGTAAAGCATGCTATCATGGCAGTCACTCACACACGTGCAAGAATGCTAAAGCGTAACCACTTACCGAGTACTCCATGCCAAAACAGAAGCTAATTAGAAATCCATGCATGGTCCTAACTATACAGAAATGCCTAATGCAACACATGCAAAATGCAACTAAGATAGGCTCGGCTATTCTAAAGATGGCATGTGAAATGCTACAACTAAGAAGTATTCAACTCGGAGTTGAAATACAAATGCAGTTAGTATGATGCGCCGAGCCCGGTGCATGCAAAACGGATGAATGAATGCAAACATGCTATCATGCTATATGTTAATTGAAACAAGCCCTAATCTAACCATCATAAGCTGGTAAATAAAAGGGAGAAAGACGTGGGGTTGGAAGACATACATCACACGTACGCACACTTATTACAATTGTGCCCTTGCTTGGAGGGTCCGAATAAATAATATGCAGTCCGAATAAATAGCACAGTCCGAATAAATACAAAATCCTAATTAATTAACAAATTAATCTAGGAAAGCAGGTAAATTAGCACACAGATCCATGGATCGCCTCAGCTCTGTTCCAAATGATGAATGATGCATGCTTGAGTTGCCTTGCGCAGAAATCCATTGCGATGCCCCAGTTTGCCTCTGTTTGTAATTGTTCTTGGAATATTGCGCAACACTCCAGGAGGCCGCTGATTTCTGATTTACTGCAACAAAGAGCAACAAAGGGGCATGGCAAAGTATTTTCACATATGTATGCATGACTACTCTTCAGGGAGTGTAGTCCTCGATCCACGCAAAATAAAGTTGGATTCCAATTCACTTTTCAAATTTTTTTTTTTGACCATGTTGCAAACTTTCATTAGCTCACTTTTCAATCTAAATACTTTTCAACAGTAAACATTTTCAATATATTGTAAACCCTGAATGATATTAATTTTATGTATTGTATTTGATCATTGTAGCTTCCACAGATGCTTGTAATGAACTGAGAGTAGGCAATGCTTTTCTCTGTTTTAATCCGATTCACACGATGCTCTAACATGTAACCTAGCATACGCAATGCTATGAAATGGCATACACAATGCTCGATGTGACGTGGCATACACGATGCTCTAACATGCAATCTAGCATACGCAATGGTATGGACCGAAATGACATACACAATGCACGATGGACTTACACCAACATGAAGGGACCTCAGCCACACTCACATCAGTGGCCATGAGATGAAAAAGAGACAACCGAAATGCGTGCACACGTGCACGTATACCGAGGACCGAACCTAAGGCATAAAATGTCACTCTACCAAAGCATGGCAAGGGATGAAAGATGGCATACAAACATGTAATTTCCAGCACTGAAACATGATGCTAAATGGTCCCGAAACATGGAAATATGGCACCCGATGCATGAAATAAGCCCCGAAACTCAAAGCTAGGCACATGTATTGAATTATAACTATGCAAAGCAAGCATTATTTGGCCATGAAGTACAAAGACAGAGCCAAGGCAGTCCCAAAACATGCACATTTCTAGTTTAAAGCATGGCCAAAAGTGGGTGAAGGTTAGGTTATTTGGATTGGAACAATTCAAAAATATGCCCAAATAACCACTGAAATGCAGCCAACATGTGCGAAAATGATGAGCTCCTTTGAAAGGGCATGCAAGGGGTTACTTAACACATATATGATGGACACTTAGCATAGCAAAACCAACTCTGGAAATCAAATATGACAGCCCTAAAACTCACCAAAAAGGGCCTGAAATTGATCAATAAAGCATACAATGAAAGGTCCTCTTGAAAGGCCTTGAGGAGGGTTGTTCCACACATGCATGAGGGACAAAAAATATGGCCAAAAGGGCCTTGGACAGAGCTAAGGAAAACCTTAAAACCCTCAGAATGAGGCCTGGAACATGACTTTAAAGCATGCAAAAAGGGGTCCTTTTGGAAGGCCAACAAGACCACCAAACAAGACAAGGAGAGAGGGGGTCACTCCCCTCTGATTTTGGGTCTCAAAAATGCATGGCCAATGCAAGTGCTCTAATGCATAGCCCTAATCATGAAGAGATGAAGCATGCATAGGGGGAAGATGACCCCAAACAGAAAAGAGACCTTAATCAAACTTGAAGAGGAGATTAAAACAAGATCTTTTTCAGTTTATGACAAATCTCAAAAATGTTCACAAGTAAGGCTGATATATGATGCAAAAAAAGCCCTAAAAGAGAGATAGAGGGTAAGGGGAAGTAGATGACCTCAAACAGCAAAGTTCCCTTAAACAAAGTTGAAGAGGAGCTCAAAATAAGACACTTTACAGTTTAGGTCGAGGCCCAGAAATGCTTTCAAATGGGGCTAATTAACGAAGCAAAATAAGGCTAGAAAAGGGGAAATGAAGACTTACCCTTGTAGAGCTGACCTCCAGCAGCTTCTGGACCAAGTTGGTGAGCTTTCAACCTCTGTAAATGACCTCCAAGGTGATGGAATGAATGAGGGAGGTGGTAGGCTAAGAGGTGTAGGGTAAAATGGCCAAGAATATGAGTGTTTTGAGGCTTGAAATATAGAGATAGAGGGTTGTATGTATATTTCCAGCCAAAAGTTTCTAACCCTTAAAAATGGAGGTGAAGGGTTGATTATATAGGGGGAGAAGGCCATGGTTTCTTGGAGAAGGCAAGAGAGAGGCTCAAAGCTTCTAAAGGAAGCTTGACCAAAGGAGTCAAGCTTCTTGAAGAAGCTAGACAAAAAGGGTCAAGCTTCCAAAGGGGCCAATTCCTCTTTAAAGCCAAGCAAAGGGTTGAAAACCAACTTAAATGGGGCCAAACCAAGGACAAAACCCTCGGACAATGGGTCAAGTGTAAAACAGCTGGCACAGCTGGAACACACTCAGAGAGACAAAACTGGCCGACCAGTTCAAAAGGGTCAGGGTGGTCGGCCGACCACCTCCCCTGGTCGGCTCACCAAGGGTCAAAAG